GGCATTTTGAGATCATCTGTGATAACCTGATTAACCACAAGGTGTCCTAAGGAAAGCAAATAAAGCTTCCATTTTCGGGTAAATCAAAAATCACGATATATCGAGATTTTGATTTATACTTAAAACACATGTAAATTTAATTGGCGTAGTAAAATCTTCCGATAAATCGAGGAAATCGGGACAGGGTATATCGGAGTTTTACTGTTTATTATATAGAGGGCAAGTTTAGCAACTCAAACAACAAAAACTCCCTATACGTGTAGACTGACCTAGATCACAACGTGCGTGATACTGATTATAATACCTTGAATATAGTACCGTAATCACGTGACGGTACACCGACGGTACCATGACCACGTGACGGTACACCGACGGTACCATGACCACGTGACGGTACACCGACGGTACCATGACCACGTGACACACAATTGCGCCGCAGTAACAAGCAGGTCCTAGTGGAGAGTGACACTTGTAGTCGTTGTGGCAATGTGGATGTTTTGTAATCTTAGTTAGAGACCCCACACTTAGCTGAGTGTTGGGAATCCCTGATTCCACCCAGTTGGAATCTGAAAGTCTCGTCATGGACTAACTGAGCAATCAACGTTTTTTACTCTTTTCAAAGTCGAGTACTTGCCAAAATCTACAGGGGTCTCTCGGTGAGTTACTGTGCAATAAGTGCATGTGGTTCGGTATTTAGAAATTAAGAAATCCAAAAAGCAGTCTAGGGGATGAAGCAAATTATAAATTTGATAGGCCTGGTTGCTTGGTTGAGCAAATAGTGGGTACCAAAACAAACGAAGGAATGAGAAACTACTTGAGCGTGATTCGTTGTTACGTTGAGAGTTCACGTATGATAAGATCTCTTTAACACTATTAATAAAACAACAAGGTTTATCAAGTAACTGTCTCTTCAGTTACTGTCAAGCCTTACAAAAATGTCACGTCCATACCATCATTGGCAAATTCCTTGGATAATACTATTCTTGCTTGCATTGTGATTATTCATCTTGAAAAAGCGGAGTTTACCGACCCTGTTGACTCAACATGATAGACAAAAAACAATTTGCACCATATAAGTTATTGGACAGGAATAGGATTAGGCTGCTGTTTTTAGACAATGTTGCTAGAATGTCTCTCTGAAGAGACCATCTGTAAAAAACCAAAATATCACTATGTCTACTGCAATAACATTTAAGGACATCAAGGTTTAATTACTATTCAATAATATCACGCGATAAAAACATTCAGACAAAACTCAATATATTATTCTGAGATCAAATCACACAATATTCCAAGAGTCATTAAATATTTATTGCGTTAAAACATATCAACTAAAGACCACATATTAGCCAAATTCAATAATAGATAAACCAAAGTCTATTTATAAAATGTGACGAACAAAGCCAAACATCTCCGAACTCAGCACGTTCATTGCGTTTAACGGTGCGAAATAGCGCCTCCGGAATGTGGCCGTTGCATGAGAGGTATTCAATCAATTACCTCAGTTTTTATCACAAAAGACCACACATATTCACAACAACTTGTTGACAACTTTCGTCTCGGATCAACAACGTATATCATGAAACGTTAAATAGTTGCCTAATAATTAGGTCGCTGGTCCTGTATGATATATGTTGTACGTCTCCTGAGCTCGTTATAATAGAGTTAGGGGTGTTATAAAGCAACATGTTACTGTTAGTTACTGTTAGTAGTACTCTAATTTAAAGTAGAAAGGTAACTGATGATATTTATTGTAGTGTGCGTGCCCTCTCCCTCTCTCCCTCTCTTTCTCTTGACAATGTAATGTTAGGCGTATCTTCACATTCTACCCTCGTACCTACTCAGAATTTTGTCAGATCTCTACTTTACTTCTAGAATCCTTATTAATTATTATCTTCTTTGATTAATAATTGTCGTGACTCCTGGTTAAATAATTGTTAATTAAGGAGGATTGTAAGTAAAAATAATCGATTGTTGCGGGAAACAAAATCAAATTCCTCATCTGTCAACCAATTTTAAATAACTCTTTTGAGTCCACTTTATCTATACGATGGAGTGCTAACTATTTCCTCAAAATTAATGTTCCTCGTCACCAGAATTAATGCATTAACTCTCAGTTACTGATGAGTCTACGAGCTTAGCTAAGAGATGATAAGTTAGCTTTATTCATCACGTACCCATGACTTTAAGAAAGCATTGACTGTTTCCTTAACAGCCTAGAAAGATAATGATTATAGCTCTGAAGACTGCCCTACCAACAGTAGACGTGTCATTTGTCTGGACAAATTTTCAACTTATACCGTCTCAACTCTTCAAGTTGTAACTTATAGACTGTAAAACATTAATAGTAGTCTGGCTCAGTTAGCTTTAAACTAGCAAGAGAGAGAGAGAGAGAGAGAGAGAGAGAGAGAAAAAACATATTTTGTAACGCATTGGCTATTGTAATGAGTGGTACGGATTGGTTGGAAAAAGTGTTGTTTTTAAAAGATGTTGTTCACGAGACATAATTGTTTTATATAGCACAGGATATATTGATCACACGTGCGTTTCTGCAGCCAATCCAGACGCGTAGATCTGCCACGTGACTTAATAAGCAGCTTGCTTAAACCGTAATAGTAAAACGCATTCCGTTGGACACACTAACTGACCGCACGTGAGATCTCATACCCATATATGGAGATATGACTTTAAAATCACCACATTGTGCTCGTGCCGCTGATTCTCCAGCCTAAATCCTAACACCACTGTCCTTCTTCTGAACTTCTACTCTACAAGTATTTTAAAGTGTCCAATTCCACAATCCTACATCAAGCGTCAAATCGACAACAAAGTCAACAGACTGAATCAGGAAACTTGGTTAACTGACGGTCCCAGACACACCAAACTGACACTCGGCCACAAGCATGCCAAAATCATCAAAAACCTCAACACTACACTCAGCAAAAACAGACAAGATTACAGAACTGCAGTTCACCTCATCACGGGTCACTGCGGCTTAAACAAACACCTTCACACCATTTGCAAATCAAACACCAGTGCTTGTCCTATGTGCGGCGACGGAGAGGAAACTGTCTCACACTTCCTTGGACAGTGTCCAGCTATTGCCCAAATTAGAGGTCAATATTTCCAGGACTACTACCTCTCTGTCAATGACATATTCGACAACCAACACATCACCACAATTGTCAATTTCGCAAACCGCACCAAACGCTTAATTGTGCCGGAAGAGCTGGATCAGACCGGGGTGACTTAAAGTATTATCTCATATAATGCTGTCTCGTCTCGTTTTACTTTTCCAAACCCAGCTGGCATTTAAGCGTATCATTTTGACTCATATATCATCTTACACCATCCTCCACCAATCACTCTGATTTCACCGGCAACCTTCCCCAAGGTTGCCACACCCCAGAGGTAGGCAGAGCATCTCAATGCTATCCTCTCGTGGGCTATCTTGGCCCAGCCTCTCTTAAAAAAAAAAAAAAAAAAAAAGTAAAAGTGGATGAAAGAGAAGTTTGATTATTTTTGTAGACAAGCAGAGCTATGTAGTCACGACAAGCATGTACGGTGCCTATAATGTGATGTTTAAAGAGAGCGAGTATAAGTTAACGTGCGTGTTGAGACTCTCAGTGAGAAGCAATAACTAAGAGAGAGAGAGAGAGAGAGCGAGAGAGAGAGAGAGAGAGAGAGAGAGAGGGAGAGAGAGAGAGAGAGAGAGAGAGAGAGAGAGAGAGAGAGAGAGAGAGAGAGAGAGAGAGAGAGAGAGAGAGAGAGAGAGAGAGAGAGAGAGAGAGAGAGAGAGAGAGAGAGAGAGAGAGAGAGAGAGAGAGAGAGAGAGAGAGAGAGAGAGAGAGAGAGAGAGAGAGAGAGAGAGAGAGAGAGAGAGAGAGAGAGAGAGAGAGAGAGAGAGAGAGAGAGAGAGAGAGAGAGAGAGAGAGAGAGAGAGAGAGAGAGAGAGAGAGAGAGAGAGAGAGAGAGAGAGAGAGAGAGAGGGAGAGAGGGGGGGGGGGGGGTGGGGGCTGGTTTTAAGATTCTGTCAGGCAAGCTATTGTAGTGTTTACAAATGATTTGTGATTTTAATGTACAGGATAATATGTAGTTCTTGGATAACGTCCCGGATAAGCTGATGATAGCTAGGGTAACCACTATAGTTTGAAATTCTAATACTTCAAGTCTGGGATCTATTATCAAAAGCGATAGAATTCATGATATTGTACCTGATACCAGAATGTATGCGAGTCCTTTAACAATTTTATTAAAAAATCTGAAGTAAGACATCATTACCTCAGTTATTTGAATTCAATGAAAGTATGGAAATAAATATGGTCAAAACTAAGAACTATTTATGTTATTGATGGTTAGATATTATCACTCGGTTAGGAACTAAGGGCGTTTTTAAGTTTCAATAATGAACATTCATTCTATATTACTCTAACAATATATTCATATTATTATAATCAATTTTATGGATGCAATTGTCGCGATTAAATTTGCCCTAACGCTAAGATCAACATTAGATCCGAATTAAAAACACACTATACTGCAGCTTTTCTATGAAGCACTACCAGGTTCTGACCCATTCCTATTTGTAAACATGAAATAACTTGTTTACATTTTACAATCATTACTTCCACATTAACACCTTCGTTCATTGTCTACAATAATGTGACAATATGATAATTTATTTCTACTTTTATATAATCATTATAGTAGCCTGGTACTCCGTATAGTATTACTCAAGTTCTCTGTTCAATATCTCCCATTAGTTTTTATCTAGTAAGATAGATTATAAACCTGTCTAGTAGATCAATTCGCAGACATTTCTAAGATTGTAAGGTATTGTTAATCTGTCTCTAATATGTCTCTATAACCTTTCTCTAACGTGTCTCTACAATGTGTCCCTATCCTGTCCCTATCCTGTCTCTATAACATGTCTCTATAACATGTCTATAACCTGTCTCTATCTTGTCTCTACAACATGTCTCTAACCCTGTACTCCCCAGGAGAAGCAGTGTTCACAAGACAGTACTCCCACCCAACACGCTCCAACACCAGCTCTCCCAGTAACTACACGTCGCGTGACACGTCCTACGACGACTCTGACATGATCAACCTGCAGCGTACCCCTACTGACGCCGAGATAAACGCTCTGTGGAACAAGGTATGAAGTGAGCAGGACTACTACTCCCCCGCATATTATACTGGGGTGCTGTGTTACCTGGACTTTAATTCATCAAATCTTAATTCATTGTTCCTATTCACACGACACTGAACACGTTAAAAAACATTTGCTCTAAAATCTGATATTTGATATCAGAATCGGCAAAAAAATCAGAAACATAACAGTTAGTCTGCGAAACTGATTACTGAAAATAACGTCAGGTACGAACAACCCTACACAGAAACCAGGCCTGGGATACACCCCAGAGCAAAGCTGCTTTACCACAGCGGGCAACAACTAACAGGTTAACAAATTGTGATTTTTAGTACTTCCGAGAGTAAAGAATCGCAAAAGCAGAGCTGTTATAATATTATAATATATAAGTTAATGTAAACTAGGGAAAAGTATTTGGCTCAGACCGAATATTTATCAATATCAGGGGTGGAAAAAATTTAAACACCCATATAAAGGCACTTTCATTAAGCTGTTTAAATGACAGGCGCGCTGTCTTTTCTTATTTAAGAATCAAATTCTTTCAACACGTCTAATTGCTAATGATGACTAATGACGCGGAGTTTAAGTTAATACTGTTTATAGTTGCTCTAACAGGAACATTTCTCAACTTTATCCCTGATTTTAAAGTTATGCGCGGCTCTGCATGACACCATCTTCCTGTGAAGACTAATGCGAGAGTGAAAATATAATCCAGCTTGAGTGAAATAAATTGCTGTAAAATACCAGGGGAAATGAGGTGCCATAAAGTAAGCTTGTAGTGTAATAAACCTGTCATTGCAGTAATGAATAACGCGATAAGATTGGCGCGATACACAGGCACGTGACATGTTTAACAAATATTTAACCCTATTAAACGACTTCAGGCGAGACGCATCACCCAAGATGCAGGATTCTCTGAGGATATATTCCAACGTTGTGATGGACAATGACCGTTACAAGGTATTTATTAGAGATTTCACCTTCGTTATTGATTTGGTATTATTGAAGAATTGAGTGTTCATTAATGGGTGATATTGGGAATATTGATGGCAATATCGAACAATATTGGTAGCATGTTGAATAATGTTTTGGGAAACTGGAGACGGAAATTGTATGCCTTTACGCAGATATTAGTAACACAATTCCTGGAACCGACCTTATTACAAATATTTTCAAACCGGACTTAACCGGATGTAGACTGTTCCAAACCTATACATACTAGATCCGGCAAGTTTCCATAAAGAAAATTTTACTATGAGCGCTCATTGTCGCCTACTGAGCGCTTATTTAGCGATTATAATCGGTTTAGGCTGTTTATAATCGCTTTTATAGCGATTATAATTGATTCAAATAAAAGCGCTCATAACCGATTATAATTGCTGTAAATATTTTTAAAAGCGATTACCTTATTTTTTTAGCGCTTATAATCGCTTTTTGGTCGTTTCTAATCGATTAAATCGCTTCGAAAGCGATTTTTCCAAGAATAAAGCGATTATAAGCGCTGGAAAAGCGGCCACTCAGAAAAGGGCTTATAAGCGCCGTTTATAAGCGATAAATAAGCGATTATACGTTGACTGCAATTTAGCCTTTTTGAAAGCGCCTACAGAGCGACTACAGAGCGCTTTTTAAAAAACCACTTATAAGCGATTTTTTATCGCCAATTGTCGCTCCTTGTCGCTTATTGTCGCTTTTTATTTTACCGCTTTTTACCGCTTTTTCTATCTTTTCCACCGCTTTTTACCGTTTTTCCTATCAACATGGTTCTGAACGTGGTTGTACAAAAAAGCGCTTATAAGCGCTTCTTTTTAATACCGGCTGGAACGGAATTGAAAAGCGCTTATTAGCGATTATAATCGCTTTTTTATTCACCGTTCTTTATACCGCTTACCCCATCAACATGATTCGGACCTTTACTGATAGTTGAAATTCGACATATGACGTCATCTAGTGTCATCTAGCGTGAAATATCGCCAGATGATGATAGATGACGCTAGATGACGCTAGATGTGTGTGTGTGTGTGTGTGTGTGTGTGTGTGTGTGTGTGTGTGTGTGTGTGTGTGTGTGTGTGTGTGTGTGTGTGTGTGTGTGTGTGTGTGTGTGTGTGTGTGTGTGTGTGTGTGTGTGTGTGTGTGTGTGTGTGTGTGTGTGTGTGTGTGTGTGTGTGTGTGTGTGTGTGTGTGTGTGTGTGTGTGTGTGTGTGTGTGTGTGTGTGTGTGTGTGTGTGTGTGTGTGTGTGTGTGTGTGTGTGTGTGTGTGTGTGTGTGTGTGTGTGTGTGTGTGTGTGTGTGTGTGTGTGTGTGTGTGTGTGTGTGTGTGTGTGTGTGTGTGTGTGTGTGTGTGTGTGTGTGTGTGTGTGTGTGTGTGTGTGTGTGTGTGTGTGTGTGTGTGTGTGTGTGTGTGTGTGTGTGTGTGTGTGTGTGTGTGTGTGTGTGTGTGTGTGTGGGTGTGTGTGTGTGTGTGTGTGTGTGTGTGTGTGTGTGTGTGTGTGTGTGTGTGTGTGTGTGTGTGTGTGTGTGTGTGTGTGTGTGTGTGTGTGTGTGTGTGTGTGTGTGTGTGTGTGTGTGTGTGTGTGTGTGTGTGTGTGTGTGTGTGTGTGTGTGTGTGTGTGTGTGTGTGTGTGTGTGTGTGTGTGTGTGTGTGTGTGCTTTTATTAATACCGGTTGGAACGGAATTAAAAAGCGCTGATAGTTGAAATTCGACATATGACGTCATCTAGAGTCACCTAGCGTCATATAGCGTGAAATATCGCTAGATGATGATAGATGACGCTAGATGACGCTAGATGACGCCAATTAGCGACATTGTCGCTAATTGCACGGCACCTTTCGAATGTCGCTATCTGACGCTTTCTGGCGCTATCTAGCGGTACATGACGCTATATGACGCTATATGACGCTAGATGACGCTAAATGACGCTGGATGACGCTGGATGACGCTAGGCACGCAGCACTGGCGCCAGGCGACAGATAGCGCTATTTTCATAAAATGTCCGCATTTTTTTTGCGACATCTATCGGTGTCTAGCGCTATCTAACGCTATATGTCGCAACGACATCGACGCAGCGCTATCTAGCGCTATCTAGCGGAGAATGTCGGTTTGTGACAGTTTACGCTAGATAGCGCTTTCTAGCGCTAGATATCGCGGCGACAGCTAGCGCTAGATAGCGCTATCTAGCGTAAACTGTCATGTGTCACAAACTGACATTCTCCGCTACACGCTAGATAGCGCTATCTAGCGGAGAATGTCGGTTTGTGACAGTTTACGCTAGATAGCGCTATCTAGCGCTTGATATCGTTGCGACAGCTTGCGCTAGATATCGCGGCGCATAATGAAGGATGTCGTTTTGCGACAGTCCATGCAGTACGCGTAGACACATGGCTATCATGTCATATGTGAATCCAAACCCTCACCCTAAAGCTATCAAAGTTATCTAACCTGAGCCTTAATTTACAATGTCAATTCATCGCAGCTCGGCGAGGCATAGAAGTGCATCTCGCAGATCTAGCGAGAAGCGCCATTGGATGCGCGGCGCGGCACAGTAACGCTTATAGCTTCAAGAAATAGCGAGCAGTAAACTGTAGACTCGTGGCTATGAGAAAATGAAAAGTATAATATAAATACGACTACATCGTGTTTCCATTTTTGGCAAGCAGAATAACTTGCAATTTAGTAACGTATAATATGCGCTCCTACTAAATCGCTCGCCCAAATTTGAAGAAAATTCTTGTGAAAAGGCCCTTTGGCTTTAGGCATGAAAGTTATCTTGATCGGTGTATTTTTGGACGCTGATTCCGAATCACCCCCCATGACGTAGGGTTAAAATGCTTCCCTGGAGAGTTATGGGCAAAAATCCGTTTTGGTCACGTGACAGGCTAGTAAAACGTGAATTCGATTATTTAGGGCTCGGGTTAGGGTTAGGGTTAGTAGTATAGGTTTGTGGTTAAGAATATCGATAGCTTCGGGATTATGGTTAGGGTTAGGGTTGGGATTAGGGTTTATGTAAAACCGTTTTGTACGGCTGCAAAACCAAAAAAACCAAAGTCACGTGAAATTTTTGGGCAAGCGATTTAGTAAAAGCCTATAATATGTGCTAATTTTTTTATGAACAAGTAAATGATTTGATCATTGTTAATGGACTAGGTCATAGGTAGCCCGACGCGCGCTACTTCGTACTTCTTGGCTTGGACTAATATTTTGAGAAAAAACGGCGCGTGATAAAAAATTAACGATTTGATCGTTTAGCGAATATTGACGATGTCATACCTTTCGTCTTTCCAGTTGGAGGTGCACGATAAAAATAAAGTTGCTCGGATTTTCAATTTTAAAAATTGTTGTTCACATTTTTTTGGAGAGTGTGAGCCTTTTTACAATATAAATTTTGTTGCAACAATCGTTGCTCGATTCGATGCGAAGCAAGATTACCTGAGGACCCCAGGCTATTATGTTAAATATCTTTATTCCGCCGAATAAAGATTTGGCGGAATGACAGGCTGAGCGCGGCCCAGTAAGAAGCAAGATGCTAATGACATTCTCAGTAATGAACAATTTGGTTTTCGAAAAGGCCACTCAACCTCACATGCACTCCACAAATCAGTTCATTCAATCACAACATCAACATCCAGTGGTAATCATGTTCTAGGAATCTTTATTGACCTAAGCAAAGCTTTTGATACTCTTGACCATGGCATTCTCCTGAGGAAACTGGAAAATTATGGGGTTAGAGGTCTAGCTCTAGGACTTCTAAAAAGCTATTTATCCGATAGATCACAGTATGTTTCATTTCTCAACACTACATCAGAGACTATGAATGTAAAATATGGAGTTCCCCAAGGTTCCATACTAGGCCCTCTACTTTTCTTATTATATATGAACGACATAATAAACTGTTACAAAGGCGATGAATGCAAATTTGTGCTCTATGCTGATGACACAAATATATTTATCACTGGACCGTCCAAAGAAGCAACATACTTGAAGGCCAATAAAGTTCTTGATTTCGTATGCAAATTCATGAGAAGTAATCTCTTACATATAAATATGTCTAAATGCTGCTACATACATTTTCTACCTGCATACGAATCTGATGAAACCTGCGCCAGGGTTAGGCCGTATGCCAATGAACATGACAAATCACAAGGAATATTTATAAATGGACACAAAATTGTCAAGGTTAGCAACACCAAATTTCTTGGTGTAGTAATTGATGAACAACTTAGCTGGGGCCCACATATAGAATATCTAAGAAAAAAAATTAGATCCACTACAGGAGCACTTATCAGGATTAAACATTCAGTTCCAGGGGAACACTACCAAAAAATATACTCTGCATTATTGGAATCACATCTTGCTTACGGAATAAGTGTTTGGGGCTCAGCTCTCAAAGACCAACCAAACGATAAGCTGTTCATAACTCAGAAACGTTGTATAAGAATCCTTTTTGGAGACCTAAATGCATACCTCGACAAACATGCCACTTGTGCACGAGCCAGACCTTATACAAAACAGAGGTTAGGAGCTGCTTTTTTCGAAAAAGAGCACACCAAGCCCATTTTTAATCGACTAAAATTGCTTACTGTTCAAAACTTGTACAAATACCACTGTATATCTGAGATATTTCGAATTATGAAATTTCGCACTCCATACTCGTTGTATTGTACTATAGACTCATCAAAACGTGATACAAGCAATGTCATAATCCTCCCAAGAAAAACCGACACTTTTCTTTATATAGCCTCCAAATTGTGGAATAGCATACATAAACGGATTCTAAATGAGAATGGGGAAATCCTCACTACTTCTGTATCTTTGGTTAAATTACGCTGTAAAAGTATCATCCTGGGATCTCAATCCATCAACAATAATAACACCTGGACTTACCACAACCTTCACATCGCCCCTCACTCAATCACAGACCAAACCATCTCATCACTCACTCACCAAATTGCCGACCCAATATCTATTGAAGTGGCGAAAATTTTCTAGACAAATGATATTTCGATATTATTGCTGCAGCAGATACAAATACCAACATTATTATATTCCCAAACGTTTGAACCTTTAAATTAACTAGGAAAGTCAATCCTCAACTTGACTTTTACTGTTTTAAACAGATATGATGATATTAACTTAATTTATTATTATTTTTTTTTTTTTTACATACTCCTTCTTAGTGTGGTGACTTGGGGTCCATAAATATAACAATACAAGCTGATAAACCAAAAAGAACAACTGGGGTAGGTAGGTAGCCCTGGTGGGTGCGTAAACTTTACGGTCTGCTCTCTCCAAGATCAGCCTGCTTCTCCATTTTACCGTGAAGCCTAATTTCTAGTTTTTATAAAATATACAATGCAAGTGCAGGTTTACTAATCTTAATCTACTTAACAACTCAATAGCCCAAGTCACCATACCCGTAGTATATTCCATGGTAATAGAAGAGCTTTAAAGTTTTTCAAATTGTTGCTATAATTGATTTAAATAAAAATTTGTTGTTTTCTTAAATTTGTTGTTTTCTTAAGAATGACAATTCGCGCGGCGCGTCGAAGCGGCGAAGTCCTCCAATTCCATACATAGCATTAAGCTATTCTGCTATTAGTATTATGTCACAATCACACTAGTGAGCGTAATAATTTGGAAAACCCCGGCCGGCGGCATCAGGCCCCTTATATAATTATAATATGTAAACGACCCCTTGATTATAAGTTATATTTAATATTTTGTTCCACTCAGCCGAATATTTAATAAATCGAGTGTAATAGTTGGGTGACTTCGACGCGCAAGCTTATAGTTATATCATTCTCACTTAAATTATAATTAATTTTCATACACAGTAAAAATTAATTTTCATACAAGATAAAAATAACAAAAAATATTGGGTGGAAAAAAACAGGCTGCGCTTACGGTCCCAGTATGAGTAACACACACACACACACACACACACACACACACACAAACACACACACACACACACACACACACACACACACACACACACACACACACACACACACACACACACACACACACACACACACACACACACACACACACACACACACACACACACACACACACACACACACACACACACACACACACACACACACACACACACACACACACACACACACACACACACACACACACACACACACACACACACACACACACACACACACACACACACACACACACACACACACACACACACACACACACACACACACACACACACACACACACACATCTAGCGTCATCTAGCGTCATCTAGCGTCATCTATCATCATCTGGCGATATTTCACGCTAGATGACACTAGATGACGTCATATGTCGAATTTCAACTATCAGTAAAGGTCCGAATCATGTTGATGGGGTAAGCGGTATAAAGAACGGTGAATAAAAAAGCGATTATAATCGCTAATAAGCGCTTTTCAATTCCGTTCCAGCCGGTATTAAAAAGAAGCGCTTATAAGCGCTTTTTTGTACAACCACGTTTAGAACCATGTTGATAGGAAAAACGGTAAAAAGCGGTGGAAAAGATAGAAAAAGCGGTAAAAAGCGGTAAAATAAAAAGCGACAATAAGCGACAAGGAGCGACAATTGGCGATAAAAAATCGCTTATAAGTGGTTTTTTAAAAAGCGCTCTGTAGTCGCTCTGTAGGCGCTTTCAAAAAGGCTAAATTGCAGTCAACGTATAATCGCTTATTTATCGCTTATAAACGGCGCTTATAAGCGCTTTTCTGAGTGGCCGCTTTTCCAGCGCTTATAATCGCTTTATTCTTGGAAATATCGCTTTCGAAGCGATTTAATCGATTAGAAACGACCAAAAAGCGATTATAAGCGCTAAAAAATAAGGTAATCGCTTTTAAAAATATTTACAGCAATTATAATCGGTTATGAGCGCTTTTATTTGAATCAATTATAATCGCTATAAAAGCGATTATAAACAGCCTAAACCGATTATAATCGCTAAATAAGCGCTCAGTAGGCGACAATGAGCGCTCATAGTACAATTTTCTTTATGGAAACTTGCCCTAGATCCGTGGCACTGGTTCTCCTTTACGACTTTTGATACTTGACCAAAAGTCAAGTATTTGCCTTCTGGGGGAAATATTAGAATTTTTGAAGTGATATTATAAATGCCCAGAATATTATGAATATCTAACATAAAATGGTGGGAACTTATTATAAATACGCAGCATATTATGAATATCTAACATAAAATGGTGGGAACTTATTATAAATACGCAGCATATTATGAATATCTAACATAAAATGGTGGGAACTTGTTATGACAGTTTAGGATCGGGTCGAGGTTAGGTTGTAGCGACTGCTACAGTTAGAGAAATATGAGAGATCAGACATTAACATGAGAACGAAAATGGGCATTGAAACCCAACTTTCCTCTTAACGAAGATGCGATGAAATTTGGAACTTAACGTTTCACAACTATACGGCAGTAGAGTTGTTTTACCCTAATTGTAGATGTCAAATATAATTAGAGTAGCATTATTGTATCGTAATTTTACATATTAAGTATAACAAGAGTATAATAATTTTGTTTTCTCCCTGGCGAAGTAGTCGATTTAAGTCAATAAGTCTGATATAATTATACTGACATAATTAATTATACCGTATAAAATGGGGGATTAATCCTGGCCGAACTGAGAAATACTGATCAGTAGTCACCAGATTTAGAACAGGCAATAAAACTCTAGTACCGACTGAAAATACAATCATTAATCGATTGTGAAAACTTGTTCAACTTACTGGCTGTCTATATTTCAACTAGCTTGTTTTCATCATGATAATGTGACAGGTTAAAAACAGGAGATGTCAGGAATATTGGCTCATGATCAAATCTGTCCGGATCAACTTTATCAGGGTATTGTCATTAATACTACATGCAACTTGTCACTAATTATTAATATTTTAGTACAAGAGACCAGTCAAGACACCAGGACAGTCAAATACGGGACCTGCAGTTGCAAAGATGACCGATGTCACTGAAAATGGTAATATTTCAACCCAACTAAATATGTACATTCATTTCAGTTCAGTACATGTTTTGTCCAGGAATTATTCTGCACAAATTTAATTGATTATTTTGTAACATTTTTCAACATGGCTAGGTCCTAATTTAAGTCCTAAGTTCTAATCGCAGGTCATACAATGTTGTCAATGGAAGAACAACGGATTCTTCAGTCACTGGAGCGACTCGATGCCAAACTTAAAGGTAAATTTGAACTCTAGTAATCGGTAATAGGCTGTCAAAGTTCAGTGTTTTCTTGTCAATCATGTTCTTATCACTTTATCAACTTTTTGGGCCTTAGAGGCTTAAGAGATGGATAGAGATGGATATTGAGAGTTTAAAATTAACAGATCCAAAATCTAAATCGCCTTACTCAAATTTAGACTTTTTTCTCCTGCAGCTTTCACAACATTTCCGATCTGGTGTTTTGACCAATAGGCAATATCCAATCATGTCGAGATGCTTAGATCCGATTCTTGGTTTGGGGCAATGTTTGCCAACTGCTGATTTTAATCACATAACATATAAATTCGATTGGAATTCTATTCGAGAACACGATGACAACAAAACCATGGGAACAGAAACTTACACCAGATTTTTGCCAAATTTGTTACTGTTGTGATGACGCGCGGCAACATTTTAATGATTCAAAGCCTTTTTCCAGTAGTGTGTGTGGTGTAAAACAAGTGAATTGCGCGCGCGTTTCTTAATATTTATAAATTCAAAATTTTGTCTGGCTGGCAACAATACCATTAATTATTTAAACTATTAATTATTTAAACGACAGCTTATCCTCCTGTTTAATCCTAAAATGTGATTACTATCTGCTGAATGCTGAGCTGAAATTCTTTTAGATAACGGTGCGTACGAAGCAACTGAGCCCAAAACACAGATCGTCACCTTTTCATCGCCAACATTAGAAGTTAGTTTGGAAATATTTTATCTGCTTTACTTACTGCTTTCTTTTGTAAATTGCACATCTTAAAGCTGAATCTTTGATTCATATCTATTTCATGTTACATCAGATGCTACAATTCGCTATCTATACAATAGTCATAACAATTCTACTTGTTACTTGCTCGCTGCATTATACAACTTAATATATATATAACCGCACTGCCATTATGACGTATGTTATACTTGTACTTGCATATCAATCATCAGCATGACCGAAACTTTTTTCGTAGGTCTCAAGACCGCAGACGAGAAGTGAAACATACAAAAGACTCCTAAATAGGAAAACCAACGGGATTTCCTCCAAATACAGATGATTTGAACGATTAAGGAGGATACGAGTCACCGCACAACTCGAAAGTTTATTTAATCTTTACAGCTCGATCCTTTAGTCAAATATTTATCTAAAACAGTCTCCGACTTCCTCGCGAGTAAGAAGTAAAGGATTGAAGACATTCTTGGATCAGCAAAAGTTGTTATCCAGATCATCATCAAACTCGATTTTATTGTGGATTCGAAAGAGCGGTAAAAATGACTGCTAGAAAAAAAAGTTTACTAGTTTTTTTGCTAATATCTTGAGAAAGCTAAAGAAATAGATTACGACCAGTTCGAATCCATTTTGATTGTTTTAACTGTTTTTGTTAGTGCTGTGTTATATTATTCTGTAGGCTCTAGAGATATAGGTAGATTTAGTAGATGTATTTATAAGATTAAGAAACATTCCGAGTGTAACTAGTGTAAATATTAAATGGTATGTTTTTGTATCAACCTCATACACTTGTTTTACTTTCAACAGGCAACAATCGAAACATAATTCACAGTATGACTTACATTTATCGTATATAAAATTAAAAATGTCAATAAAATCTTCCCTAAAATCCATTTATTTGCGTTTCGTTCAACAATCGAAGACATGCATATCAGGGGGGCGGCAAATTGTCGTTTGAATGTGGGACGATTTTGGAAAACTTAACTAAAGTACTTACTCACTAAAAAGACACTTTTTTAATAGATTTTACCAACGTATTCTCTAAAATCAGTATATTAAAAAAATTGAAGGGGGAGGCAGCAAAATTTAGCGGCCCACGCCCGTCGCCCCACAGTTAGGTTTCGCTACTGCATGAATGCCGATGGTGCTGAAATGGTGTCTGGTTTTAAGATAAAGAGACTGCTATTTTGAAAGCCGCAGCTCCTAATTTAAACTCAGAAGAAGTTTCATCAACGGTTCTTAAACTAAAGAGAGGTACCACCTGGTAGTGGTACAAAACGTCTGCGATATCTGATTATAATTCCTAAATTCCTGTCAGAGAAACTCGGCAAAACATCACAACGGTGGAGGTGTGACCTATTAAATATAGAACCTATAGAAGCTCAAACTCTTTACAAGTTTGACGTCAGAAAAAGGCCGTCCGAATAGGTATTTATTTTGTCAAACTAGCCAAGATCATTTTTATAACGTGTTTTTTAAGTGATTCTCAATGTCTTGGCAATTAAAGACTTTGGTTGAAAGGTCTTAACCATTTTTTTTTGAAAAGTTTAAACTTGAAATTCCAGAAATAATTAATACCTCTGTTTTACTATATAGTGCGAACATGCTACCAAGATTGGTCCATTTAATTGTCCAATTTTTAAATATCTGTCAAATAACAGTGCTTCATGGCTGCTTCATGGGTGGTGTATAAAGTCATATGAATACTGAATAGCCGGAACGGAGAGACTTGGCAGATAACTTGCAAGATGTCAAATACAAAGTTGTCTGAGTGCATTGTGCAATGACTGAGTGTTGTTCTTTGGTAAGTCATTTTTGGATTACTCTAAATTGGGAAGGATTGTGGGTGTCGTTTCTACAGAATTATTTCCTTTTTCATTCTATATATTATATAGAGAATGAAACAGTCATACATACACATAATCATATACACACAATATTGGTTCAATGTTGGCGACATCGATGTCACCACAACACTCAACAGGAAAAGGAAACACGTCTTTAAGAATGAATTTAATCGATTACAAAACAACAAATTTAACAAGTCATAAATAACAAATAAAAACTACCCACGGCTACGTTAGAAACGATGTAATCGTAACAGAAATCCAGAACATCTCATCAGAGAAGCTAATTTTTCAATATGGGGTCGTTCACATATTACGTCATCATTTTTTGGACAATTTTTGCCCCCCTTTCCCGTAATCAGTTTCACACATAGCTATTGTGTCAAAACTACACTAGTGTAATCATCTAGAAACATACTCACGTAATATTTGAACGACCCCTATCAATAAAAACCAACTGGTTCAATTTCACCTTTAGAATGGATACAAAATAAAAGAAAGCTAAGTCGATTAATTCCTCGATATAAACTGATAAACTGGTGAGACGATCCCGAAATAAATTGCACCACGACAGATATAATCTATAATACAACAATATAAATATCGTTTAATCGTTCGTGCCGAACGGTCAAAACCATCACTTCAACGTGTTAAAGGCTAGGCACCGCCCAACCCCACTGTTATTAGACCAAATAGAGCACCCACTATAGTTACCTCCTGGATAGATATGCATTATTTCGAGCACCAAAATTAATATCATTAGTTCGTGAATTGTACGATAAAATCGAGCGGATATCTAGTAGTGTTGGATTGCATAATGCATAAGAATGTGAATAAATGCAAGGCTTGAAATAGTGGCCTGGCTATTCAAAACATGATCAATCATGAACCAGAAACGTTAGGTAAAATGTAAATCTAAGCCTAAACTGGACGATTGGTCTGTTCTTGAAGCGTCCTCAATTTTTCTCAGTCTGCCTAACGTCCGACATCTTCCTCATAAGAAGACGGTTAATGACTGATTTAGTTATCCAATCTTCCCATAGTCTGTATACTCAGAATCTTGTCTGATGCCTTCGCTCGGTATTACCTGCCGTTATCAACCAAATATAGCTGATCAGATTCGTTTGCCACATCAGTCCAGTTTCCCGGTAACAAGTCCATTGTGTATTTGTATTGATCTTTCCAATCTGCAAATATAGGTATTTTCAAATAAAATCTGTGAGTGTGGAAACCGAAAGAAAGCCGAGAACTAAACTTTGTCCTGTTAAAAACGTATCCAGAATGGAGCCTCTTTATTTGAAACTTATAAACGTATAAACTTAAGCTGGTTATGTAAATGATGGAGTGACTGACCACAGGGGGTGCCACACCGCCAGTCCCTCATCTTTACACCTCCGTTCACACAAGTACTGGCTATCTCGGACAGTACTGCACAGAAGGGCAGGTACAGGTCCCGTCTCCAGTCCACAAGACACACTTCTGACACACACTGCTCATACATAGAGTCTCCAGGTAACACCTAGAAACAAGCTACATTTACAAAATGATTTGCATCGATTGACTTGCCCCAAGCATGTCCAAGTAGAGTTGTCTAGTTAACAATAAATAGCATCTTTCTAACCTTGTGGCAAGAAGAGAAAGGTCCGGAAAGAAGTATACTGCACAAATCTTTAGCTTTAGAGTGGAGTTCCTGGTTGTTATGACATGGGGAGCGTGGGACTGAGACCACACCACACTTCTCTAATCCAGTCTGAGGGTGGGGAAATGGTTTCAAGTGTTGTATAATATTATGTTCATCAGTTGTGCATGGTTCATGATTAATATTGAGAGAGATTCATAACTGGCACACACAGTTCAACACCAAATTAGCTATCAAGCTATCTCATTTGTAGATTAAGGGTATCAAATTAGACGACTTGGAAAATCATTTGTATGATCTTACAAGAACTGAACAACCGAACAACAAGCCTACCTCATACGTCTGGACGAACGTCTCCACAGAGGGAGCTATCTTGGCAGCGAGCCAGATAAATAGATCATCATGTGGGTTGGAGTTGGGAGTCCCACACAGTCCGCACATCCTGTTAACTCCACCTCTCGGCTTCAGAATCTCAACTTGTAACAGTCCGTCATACCTGTAGAGAGTGAACGTACAGATAGTGGTAACTCTGCTTTAAAGACAATACTTTTAAGACGTTTGTTTGTGGCAAATATATTTACTGCTTCTCCAAGTCTCTCTTTGATAATAGATTGAATTGCTCTACTTAACGTTTAACATTACTTTATAGCTTACAGTTACCAAACATCTACCTTGGTCCTTGATATAATTATACCTGAGTACGATGTCGAGGAGTCTGTGTTGTAGGTAGAGGTGAGTCTCAGTTCTGTACACAGTAGTGGAACCGAGTATTTTCTTTCTGTTAGGTGAAATGTAGTAAACCTGAAGTGAACAGTCAGTTAGGAAATTGTAAAGGGTAAAGTGGTAAAGTAATTATGTAATTATGTGTTTTCTCAAAAAATCACACAAAATACAGCTAGAATGGGAATGATAATTCCCTCCTCTCGTTGTGCAATACCAGCTAGTTTATGGCGTTCAGTATCTTACTAAGATCCAACTTATTGAACTAATCGGACTAATTGGATGTTACCTGATCATCGAAGACAATACCCCAGCCCCTCTTAACGGTGATAGAATCAATACCCTTAAAAATAGTTGCTGATAAGATGCAAGAAGCAGAGCTAGTTTCACTGCATCTTCCCATCTCTCCGTAAATGAAGAAATCGTAATCCTGCGAGTGAAAGAGTAAAAATATCGCCACAATCTTATCAAGCGTCAAATTGGTATTCTGAGTAAGCAGAAAAAAGGAAATTGGAAGTGTAAAAATGAACTTTATTTAAAATAATATCTGACCCTGCAATCAGTAGCAAATATGTAGCTGCAACTAGACTGGAACTGGTAAGTCAAACCATCAAACGTTCTGACGAATTGTCCTCCGGATACCGAACACCTTTCGTACATTTCCAGAAAATTCAACATTGCTGAAGTTAAATTCAACAATTACACCCGGAAACGACCACTTTTAAGTCCCGAACTGGTCAGTACACATATACGTTAGAGGTCTTTTGTTAGATTAGCAACTACTAACCCAGACCTTATCATGAAACCAAAAAATTGATAACCATCTTTTGACAGAAATGTTTCACTTATATCAGCATAGCACGGCCAAAATAATAAAAATTCAGAAAGCTACCTTACAAGACATTTTTATAACGTACGAAATGCGACGGTTTTCCCGAAATTTCGCCATATTTTCGGACCGCCAAAATTTCGGTCGTCGTAATAGAATCCGTCGCATTATTTTTAGCTTATTCCAATAATTGTGGCTTCATCGATTCATTTTGTTCTTGAAAAGTTAGTGATATGATGGTGGGACAAATAAACACAATATTCCATGATGAATTTAATGTCAAGTTATACGTTTTAAATTTACAATAAATTACATTTATGTGCTAACATAAACGTCTTATAGACTAAGTCAAGATAAACAATTTAATACCAAACTCAATAAGTGAAACTGAAAGATTCGAGCCGGACCCCTTAGAGGAAGATGAAGAAATCGATTTATAAGTTTCATTTTGTTTCAACATGATTTTACCGATTTTTAGAAAATTTTGAATTTCCTTTGTGTCAGAAAACAAAATGATGAAAAATACCCTTATTTTCTGTGACGTCCGAAATGTGACGGTTTTTGTTCAATTTCGCCATATTTTCGGACCGCCAAAATTTCGGTCGTCGCACATTGGTCCGCCACAAAAATGTCTTGTAAGGTACTTACCACTGTCTCTACGCGACAATGGAGTTCCTACTACAGGTCCTGTATAAACACCACCTTTGGTGGCCCTCTTACAGGACTTTGTCATTTTAGCAGGATACTC